CATGCCCCAGATATGTTATCATGCCCCAGATATGTTATCATGCCCCAAATATGTTATCATGCCCCAAATATGTTATCATGCCCCAAATATATTATCATGCCCCAAATATGTTATCATGCCCCAAATATATTCTAAGTGGATCTGACCTCTTTAACTCTTTTTTTTTTAATATCAAATCTGTCAGGTCATCTCTATTAGTGCTCAAAATGAAACCAATTGTGGGCTTTTCATACATGTGCCCAGGCAATACTTTCTTTTTTGAAATAAAGCAATTCTCAAGAGAATGAAAAGATCTAGCCATCACCTAGATGTATATGTGTGTGTGTGTGTGTGTGTGTGTGTGTGTGTGTGTACACACACACACACACACAAAGAGCCTTAAAACACAACAAGAAAAAAAATCCTGTATTCATGGGTTAGATGCCCATGGTACATGAAGCAATTTATAGATCCAATGCAGTCCTCACAGAGCTACCAACATCCTTTGCAGAGGTAGGACAAGAAAACCTAAAATACTCAGAACCAAAACATCACCAACAGCCAGAGAGAAGACCTGGACGGACACCTCCCCGGAGACACAGAGATGGCATACAGGCCTAAGAAGATGCTCAGCATCACGCTGTCCCTGCCAGACTGACCAAAATCCACAGCACGGGATGGAGCAACGCCGAGGATGGCAGAGCGGAAGTGAGAATATGAAAAGGGACAGTGGCTGAGACACGTTAGCACACATCAAGCCAGGACAAGGGATAGAGGAGGCACGCGTACAAATGACTGAAAGAAGCTGGTGTGCAAAGGCCTGATGCCTACCGCACTGCACGAGAAGTGAAGAATTCTATCAAAAGAAGTATTTTTTAAAAGCACAAAGCAACAGCGACCAAAGTAATTCAAACAAAAATATTAATGGAAGAACCAAATTCTCTTTGTGGGCTTAGCGTGTGTGTGTGTACATGCTCACGTGTGAGAGTATGCATGGAAGCCAGAGACCAACATCAGATGTCTTCCTTGGTCACTTTGTATCATGCGTGTGTGCGTGCATGCATGAGTGTGTGTGTGTGTGTGTGTGTGTGTGTGTGTGTGCGCGCACACGCGTGTGTGCTCACCCATGAGTGTTCTGAAGTCTACACTGGGTTTCTTCTACCACTCCTGCCCTATTTTCTGAGACAGGGTCTCTCATTGAACGGGAAGCTCGCTCAGCACCTCAGCTAAAGGTGGACTGGGTGTATGGCCTAGTGAGTCTGCAGCATCGATGATGATTGCACAAAATCGCTTCACAGTGCATTTCTCAGAACACTTCACATCTGAGACACAAGCCCAACATGCCGCCTGTCTTTATCTGGTCCTATACAGCAAAAGAAAATAACAATGACAGTGACAATAACAATAACCATAGGCTAAATCACGTGTCTGCACCAAAAGGGACATGAAGACAAGAGGTAGCTGTTTAAGCCATCCCTGTGGGGTCTGAGGATCTAGGGGGTATCAGCGGCCTAGAGCTCTATCTTCTCAGATACTCGGTGGCTCCCACGGTGGTACAGCAGAGAGAAACACAGCTCAGCACCATCCAAGCAGGCCGCAGAACCTGGCTTCCCCCACGGTTACATTTAAGGCTTCTGACCTTCTCAAAATACACCCAAAATATACATACTGGAAAAGAAATAACAAAATCAAAAACCACAGCCAGCTACAACAGCCAGGTTGGCCCTGCAACACCACTGAGCAGTGGCGTGGAGTGCAGCAGCATTTCCAGAGGCCTCTGTCCCTTGAGTGTCCTACTAACCAACGAGGAAAGTAGGAAGCATGTATATGAGGCAAAACAGCCCAGCAGAAGACACTCCATAACCTCCCGGACCTTACATACTTCATTCTATTTACTGAGGAGGAAAACTGTACAAAGTCAGTTAAAGAAAAAAGTGAGCCAAGGCAGCCCAGCTCATCCAGCTGCCTCCAGTCTGACTTGGAGGATTTCACATGCAACCATGGACTCATAAGGTGAGCTGCTGCCCCCATAAATGACCCCACACCAAAGGGAGTACGTGTCATCTTTGCAGGAAGCAGGGGGGTGGAGGGGAAGAATGGGACAGACAGGTCAGGATTATATGGAATGTTCAACTTTATAAGTATGCATCAAAAAGGAAAAATCACATACAAAGGAAAAGAAAAGGATTCTTCTTTAAATTCCAGCAAGATAAGAAGCTTAGGTGCTGCTCTCTGCATTTACTTTCAGTGCGAGGAAAGCAGTTGGTAGGACTTGGAAATGAGCACAGAAAAATGACCTACATCCTTCTATATATGTGCCACTATCGCTTGCCCATTATCCTGCTTAGCTGCTCTCCGCCATGGGTACAGTGCAGGACAGATGGCCTTTCGGAAGTCTCTACCAAGCCTGTGATACTTCAACTGGGACGTGAAGGTCCAGAGACGCCTTTTCCCAAGGGACAGCGGGACACTCACAAAGCAGCTGCACAAACCCCACGTGTTGAGCTAGACACACAAGCTCCCAATGTCACACTAAGCCGTACATATTCTTGGCAGCTACAAAATAAAGAACCAAAATCCTCTGCACTGGGAAAGAAATGCTAAAAGTAACAAATTACATCAATGAGCAGCTACTCATTAGGCTTCTATAAGAATGACGACAGTAAAATTCACAGAAAGGACACGAAAGCCAGTGAGCTAGTCACAAAATTTAAGGGACACATTTTCAAACCAAAAGGAGATAGAAGGTAGCAGGAGCCCGTACATCAGTTATTCCTGATGTTCTTGCTGCTACTGTAGTGATGGAAGAAAAGAAGACATTTTGTAAATAAGAATGTGTGGTCTGTGCTACAATTCTATATACAGCCTTCAGCGGGCTCCCTCGCCCGGTGCCTCCTTTATTCCTCAACTACTTTAAAAAAAAAATCCAGGATAAACATACTAAAATTTATAGGCCTAAAGAAGCTAAAGAACAAGGAGGATCCTAGGGAAGACGCTTAATCCTCATTTAGAAGGGCGAACAGGATAGATATCAGAAGTAGGAGAAGAACAGGCAGGAGCCTTCCACAGGGAGCCTCTGAAAGACTCTACCCATCAGCATATTAAAGGAGATACTGAGACTTAGCCAAACTTTGGGCAGAATCCTTATGGAAGAAGAGGGAGATAGAAAGACCTGGAGGGCACAGGAACTCCACAAGGAGAACAACAGAGCCAAAATACCTGGGCCCAGGGGGAAGCCTGTAGAGACTGATACTCCAATTAAGGATCATGCATGAAGAGGACCTAGACCCCTGTTCAAAGGAAGCCCATTGTATCCTCAGTTTCCAAATGGGTTCCCTAGTAAAGGGTACAGGGCTTCCTCTGACATGAACTCAGTGGCTAGCTCTTTGATCACCTCCCCCTGGAGGGGGAGGGTGCAGCCTTGCCAGGTCACAGAGGAAGATGATGCAGCCAGCCTTGATGAGACCTGATAAGCTAGGGTCAGATAGAGGGGAGGACATCATTCCCTAACAGGGGACTAGGGAAAGGGCATAGAGGGAGAAGAGGGAGGGTGGTTGGAACTGGGAGGAGATGACGAAGGGGGCTACAGCCAGGATACAAAGTGAAAAAACTGTAATAAATAAATAAATAGACAAATAAATAAAATTTAAAAAGAAAAAAAGACGCAGACACACACTCTCCAGGGCTGGTGTGAGAATGAAATGGCATGGTGTCTGAACCAGGGGGCTCACATTTCAAGGGATCCTCCCTGTTCTAAAGGCTTCACTTGTTCATTTGCCGTAATACCTACCTGCCGAGGCTGAGGAAACTACTGCTGTCTGGCCCCCTCCACACATAAGGGGCCTAAGGCCCGAGAGAGTAACGGATCCCGCTGGACTGCTTCCAGTGCATTTAGCACACTGGCAGTAAATGATGACAATGATGGCACATATACTTGCTACATGCTGGAATCCACCCTCAGCTCCTGATGCCAGTACGTTAGCTCACAGAATTCTCCGTGAGCTAAGGCAGGTACTATTACTAACTAACTCTCTTTCACATATGAAAGAAATGAGACCAGGGACAAAGTTGTTTTTTCCAAGGCCATAAAAATCAATCAACAGGTGTTAGAATCAAAATGTCAACTCCAAAAAGGGTATCCTGTAGTGTTTTCGCCATCAAAGACTAAGCTATGAAACTCTGTCAAACGCCTTGTTATAATTTACCTTCAAAAATAAATTCTGTTAAACAGTTATAATTCTAAGGGGTTCCAGTCTGTGTGAGATCTTTCGGTACACTGATGATGCTCTTCATTAAAAAAAAAAGATAGCC